GCGGGGCGCTCGCGCCGCCCCACCTGCTGCTTTTGTCCCCCCCCCGCGCCCCCTCCCCAAAGCCCGCGCTCGGGGGGCGCCCCCGAGACCCCGATTCCGCGCACGGCGGCCGCGGGCCCAGGCACCTGCTCGCGCAGACGGGGGCGACCACTCGCGCGGCCCCCGGCCCGGCCCCCGCGCGCTCGCCCTCGCGGCCTTTTTTTTTTTTTTTTTTATCGATTTTGAACAATGGGTTCTCTGTCTGTCTCCGTCAGACCACGTGGGCCCGCCTGGCTTCCCCTTTTTATTCATTCACCCCCACTCCCCCTCCCCCAGGTTGCCTTTTTTTTTTTTTTTTTTTACCTTTTCTCTTAAAAAAAAAAATCCGGAAAAAAAAAAAAAACTTTCCCAGACCCCGCAAACTGCGCGGCGCGGGCCCGCGGCGCCTACCTGCTGGGGACGCGAGGACGAGCGGCGGCGACGAGGCGGGTCGCAGGCCCGGTGGCAGCCCGCGGCCCCTCGCCGGACAGACTTCGATGTAAATACGAGCTTCCAGGACAAACGCTACAACACAAAACAGAAACACATGTGCGGCCGGCCGCAAGCGAGCGCGCGGCGGGGCGGGCGGCGCGGGGCGCGGGGCGCGCGCGCCCCCTGCCGGCCGGCGGACCGCGCGCCGGGACCCCGGCTCCGGCCCCGCGCCGCCCGCCCCCCGCGCGCACCCCGCACGGGTCACCTCGGGACACCCGCCGGCTCGCCGCGGCCAGCAAGGGACGCGCCCTAATTGAGCGCTCGGAGCGGAGGAGGAAAGCGGTTTGAGTAATTCCCTCCCGCGCCGAGCGAGGCTGCGTTCCGTTCGCCCGTGCGTGTGTCCCGCAAGGTGCTGCGACGCCGTGGGGTGACACGCACGGGCGAACGGACGGGCAGGTGACGGCAGGGCCGCGGGCGCCCTGGAAGCTGGTAAGGTGGACATTCGTCATGGGTGGGGGCGGGTTTTTAACCGAGTTCGCGGGACCTGCGAGCCGCACCGCGCTTAGGTCCCGGGCTGTGAGCGCGGGACCAGGACGGGCGTCCGCTCGCGGGATGAGCACGACTCACCGGCCAAGGGGTGAGCGCAGAATGGCGGCCCGGTGGGGTCCTACCTGGGGAGGAGAGGGGCGGGGAGGCGGGCGGGCGCGCGCCAGCGCACCCAGCTAGGCCGGGGAGCCACGTGGGGGCTGGGTCAGGGTCGGGACTCGCGGGATCCCCCGGAGAAGAGAGGAAGCTTTGCCGACTCCCAGCTGTGCGGCTGCCCCCACCTCCCCTGGGGCCCCACCCGGCCTCTTCCCCGGCTTCCTGGCTCCCGCCGGAGAAGATGCCTTTTTGGGGAAGACAGAGCCTAAGACGTGCGCGAGTACTGCACGCAGCCAGCCATCGAATCCGGAAGCAGGGCTGGGGGAGGAAGACCGGCGGGGGCTCGGGGGCGTCCGATCCGCCCAGGGCGCGCGCGGGAGAGGAACTTTGGAAACGGGAAATCAAACGGGCACTCCTCCGAGACTGCCGGGAAGGAGAGACCGGGGACGCCAAACCCTGGTGCTTGCTGGTGGAAAGTTAGGGAGAGCCACCCCCCCCCCCCACCACCACCAAAGAATCCCGCCCAGATCAGGCATCCCGGCCCCTTCAGGAAGTGGCTTGCCGCTGCTTGTCGGCCCGGGGCGGTTCCGTGCCCGGCACCCTGTGTGGCCCATTAGGAGCGCAGCCGCCTGGTGCGGTGCCTTTAGGTGCCAGCCCGCCCTCCTCCGTTTTCCCCCCTGCCCCATTACCGTGCTTCCTTGCCCGCGTAAAAGACACGTGCGTCAGAGACACTGATGCAATGAGACGCTAATATCACATTGCATCATCTGATCCTAGGTGTGGCGCCCCCGAAAACTGGTTCTGACGAGGTTGCGCTGCAGCCGGAGAAGCGGCTACAGTACCCGCCCTCCCCCGAACCGGCCCCACTCGCCCGCCCGGTGACAAAAGGATTTTTTTTTTTTTTTAATGTATGCGCTGCTCTTCCCCCGGGGACACAGCCGGGTGACTCCCAGCTGAAATGGGTGTGCAGCAGGCATCCGTCAGTTAGGCGTGGCGCACTGCCACTTATGTAACAAATGCTACCCGGCAAGGTGCGCCGAGCAGAGGAGATGGAAGCCGCACTTCCTCCTCTGAAATGCGCTAGCCTGACTCCGGGGCAACTTCCGGGAGGCGGAGTGGTCCTGCCCGGGAATGGAGAGTCCCGGCACTTGCAGGCCCCCGTGCTGGGCGCCGTGTTGGCTGTTTTCAAGCGCGGATCCGAGGAAATGTGGGCTCCAAGCACCTGCTGGAGGGCCTCTCTGGTCGTTGGCGTACTCCTATCTAAGTCGGCCATGGCAAGCCAGGTCTCTCGTACAGGATGAATTTTCTGCCCCCAGTACATGAAAATGAAACCACTCGTCCTGGGAATGATGCTGCTGACCAGTGGGCACTGGATTCCAAAGTCTGCAGGTCCAGCTTAGTTTGGCGAGGATGATACCCCTTCCATCCGGGATGTCCAGCAGGGTACCCACCTGTGGCTACTGAGCACTTGAAAACAGGACTAGCAGGTTAGACCCCCGGCCTGCAGTGCCGGCATCCCATATGGGCGCTGGTTTGAGTCCTGGCTGCTCCACTTCTGATCCAGCTCTCTGCTGTGGCCTGGGAAAGCAGTGGAAGATGGCCCGAGTGCTTGGGCCCCTGCACCCACATGGGAGACCTGGAAGAAGCTCCTGGCTCCTGGCTTCACATTGGCTCAGGTCTGGCTGTTGCGGGCATTTGGGGAGTGAACCAATGGATGGAAGACCTCTCTCTCTCTCTCTCCCCCTCCCTCTACCTCTGTAACTCTGTCTTTAAAATTACATTAATTAATTAATTTTTAAAAACAGGACTGGTGCAACTTGAGGTGTGCTCCAAGTGTAAAGCATATCTGAGGCAGAGGGGTTGTGTCGTGAAGGTGCTGCCTGTGACGCCAGCATCCCATATGGGCGCAGGTTCGAGTCCTAGTTGCTCCACTTCTGATCCAGCTCCTTGCTAATGCACCTGGGGAAGCAGTGGAAAATGACCCAAGTCCTTGAGCCCCTGTACCCACGTGAGAGACCCAGAAGAAGCTCCTGGCTCCCAGCTCCTGGTTCCTGGCTTCAGCCAGGCGCAGCCCCGGCCATTTCAGTCATTTGGGGAATGAACCAGCGGATAAAGATCTCCCTCTCTCTGTGTAACTCTGCCTTTCAGGTAAATAAAAAATAAAAGGAGGCTGGCGCTGTGGCGTAGCAGGTAAAATGACCACCTGCAGTGCTGGCGTCCCATGTAGGTACAGGTTTGAGTCCAGGCTGCTCCTCTTACGATCCAGCTCCCTGCTATGACCTGGGAATGTAGGATGGCCCAAGTCCTTGGGCCCCTGCACCCACATGGGAGACCCGGAGGAAGCTCCTGGCTCCTGGCTTCAGATTGGCGCAGCTCCGGCCGTTGGGATCATCTGGGTAGTGAACCAGGGGATGGAAGACCTTTCTTTCTGTCTCTACCTCTCTCTGTAACTCTGTCTTTCAAATAAATAAAATAAATCTTAAAAATAAATAAATAAAAGATGATTACTGGAATAACCGCTTTAAAATAAATAGATCTTTTCAAAAAATGTGCTTCTGGATTTCATCCGCCCTGAATCTGAGACTGGCAGTTGGTGGAGGAGTCCCTGTTACGGTGCTCGCGAGGTGTATCCTGGGGAACGGAAGTCCCGTTTCTGCCAGTGACACATGAAATTTTAGAACCAAAGGGCCCTTGAATATTGCAGTAGGACCTGTAGCACCCCAGCCTGGAGAGCGTGCGTGGTGCTGGGCCTGGTTTGTGGTTTACTCCTCTCTGGTTACTGCAGGTGTGTGTCTGTGCTGACCTAATACCCAGAGGAAGCAGTGTAGCCCAGAGAGGCTCTGAGACTGCTGGTGACACACAGCGGGCTGGTGGGAGAGCCGGGAAGCCCCCGGCCCCCAGACCGGCGCTGGAAGTCCTTGCTGTGGTTGGGGCCAGCAGCAGGTACATCCCGGGGGAGTTAGGAATGCACACTCTCGGGCTCAGCCCCAACTTACTCAATCAGAAACTACTTTTTGTAGCACTTTTTTTTTTATTTAAAAAAATTAACTAGCCGGCGCCGCGGCTCACTAGGCTAATCCTCCGCCTTGCGGCGCCGGCACACTGGGTTCTAGTCCCGGTCAGGGCACCGGATTCTGTCCCGGTTGCCCCTCTTCTAGTCCAGCTCTCTGCTGTGGCCTGGGAGTGCGGTGGAGGATGACCCAAGTCCTTGGGCCCTGCACCCCATGGGAGACCAGGAGAAGCACCTGGCTCCTGCCATCAGATCAGCGTGGTGCGCCAGCTGCAGCGCACCAGCCGCAGCGGCCATTGGAGGGTGAACCAACGGCAAAAGGAAGACCTTTCTCTGTCTCTCTCACTGTCCACTCTGCCTGTCAATAAATAAATAAATAAATAAATAATAAAAAAAATTAACTCTTCATTTGTATTTATTTGAATGCCAGAGAGAGAGAGAAATATCCCACCTGCTGGTGCGTTCCCCAAACACCCACAATAGCTGGGGATAGGCCAGGCCAAAACCAAGAGCCCAGAACTAAACCCGGGTCTCCCACACAAGTGGCAGGGACCAGAGTACTCGAGCCATCACCTGCTGCCTCCCGGCGGGGTTGGGGGGAGTGGGGTGTGCATTGCCAGGAAGCTGAGTGAGGACTAAAGTCGGGGTTTGAACCCAGGCCCTGTGGTGTGGGATGGAAGAGATGTCTGACCCACTGTGTTTTTTTTGTTTTTTTTGTTTTTTTTTTTTTTTTTTTGACAAGCAAAGTGGACAGTGAGAGAGACAGACAGAGAGAAAGGTCTTCCTTTGCCATTGGTTCATCCTCCAATGGCCGCCGCGGCCGGCACACCGCGCTGATCCGATGGCAGGAGCCAGGTACTTATCCTGGTCTCCCATGGGGTGCAGGGCCCAAGCACCTGGGCCATCCTCCACTGCACTCCCTGGCCACAGCAGAGAGCTGGCCTGGAAGAGGGGCAACCGGGACAGAATCCGGCGCCCCAACCGGGACTAGAACCCGGTGTGCCAGCGCCGCAAGGCGGAGGATTAGCCTAGTGAGCTGTGGCGCCGGCCTGTTTTTGTTTTGCGTGTTTTTTCCAAGATCTCTCGGGTGGTTTTTAGGGACCTGAAAGGGTGAGGAGCTGCTTGAAGTCCTCCCTCTTTTCTCAAGGAGACCCCGCTGTTTGTTCCCAGATGCGTCACTGAGGAAATGCAAGCCTCACCTGCCAAGAAGGGACGGAAGGTCTGAGAAGATCTAAGAGACATCTATGAGCCCCTGCCCTGTGCTTGGTCACCTGGCACCGCTCTCATGCTGGGGCTGGGACAGGGGCTGGGGCTGGGGACAGCGGGCGCACGTGCTGGGGTGTATGTGGGGCTGGGGGCAGCGGCGCAGGTGCTGGGGTGTGTATGGGGCTGGGGGCAGTGGGCTCACGTGCTGGGGTGTGTATGGGGCTGGGGGCAGCGGCACACGTGCTGGGGTGTATATGGGGCTGGGGGCAGCGGGCACACGTGCTGGGGTGTATATGGGGCTGGGGGCAGCGGGCACACGTGCTGGGGTATATTTGGGGCTGGGGGCAGCGGCACACGTGCTGGGGTGTATATGGGGCTGGGGGCAGCGGGTGCACGTGCTGGGGTGTGTATGGGGCTGGGGGCAGTGGGCTCACGTGCTGGGGTATATATGGGGCTGGGGGCAGCGGGCACACGTGCTGGGGTGTATTTGGGGCTGGGGGCAGCGGCACACGTGCTGGGGTGTATATGGGGCTGGGGGCAGCGGCACACGTGCTGGGGTATATTTGGGGCTGGGGGCAGCGGTGCACGTGCTGGGGTGTATATGGGGCTGGGGGCAGCGGCACACGTGCTGGGGTGTATATGGGGCTGGGGGCAGTGGGCTCACGTGCTGGGGTGTGTGTGGGGCTGGGGGCAGTGGGCGCACGTGCTGGGGTGTATATGGGGCTGGGGGCAGTGGCGCAGGTGCTGGGGTGTATTTGGGGCTGGGGGCAGCGGCACACGTGCTGGGGTGTATATGGGGCTGGGGGCAGTGGGCTCACGTGCTGGGGTGTGTATGGGGCTGGGGGCAGTGGGCTCACGTGCTGGGGTGTGTGTGGGGCTGGGGGCAGCGGGCGCACGTGCTGGGGTGTATATGGGGCTGGGGGCAGCGGCACACGTGCTGGGGTGTATATGGGGCTGGGGGCAGTGGGCTCACGTGCTGGGGTGTGTGTGGGGCTGGGGGCAGTGGGCGCACGTGCTGGGGTGTATATGGGGCTGGGGGCAGTGGCGCAGGTGCTGGGGTGTATTTGGGGCTGGGGGCAGCGGCACACGTGCTGGGGTGTATATGGGGCTGGGGGCAGTGGGCTCACGTGCTGGGGTGTGTATGGGGCTGGGGGCAGCGGCACACGTGCTGGGGTGTGTATGGGGCTGGGGGCAGCGGGCGCACGTGCTGGGGTGTGTGTGGAGCTGGGGGCAGTGGGCTCACGTGCTGGGGTGTGTATGGGGCTGGGGGCAGCGGCACACGTGCTGGGGTGTGTGTGGGGCTGGGGGCAGTGGGCTCACGTGCTGGGGTGTGTATGGGGCTGGGGGCAGCGGCACACGTGCTGGGGTGTGTGTGGGGCTGGGGGCAGTGGGCTCACGTGCTGGGGTGTATATGGGGCTGGGGGCAGTGGCGCACATGCTGGGGTGTATATGGGGCTGGGGGCAGCGGCACATGTGCTGGGGTGTATATGGGGCTGGGGGCAGTGGGCGCACGTGCTGGGGTGTATATGGGGCTGGGGGCAGTGGCGCAGGTGCTGGGGTGTATTTGGGGCTGGGGGCAGCGGTGCACGTGCTGGGGTGTGTGTGGGGCTGGGGGCAGCGGGCACACGTCCTGGGGTATATTTGGGGCTGGGGGCAGCGGCACACGTGCTGGGGTGTATATGGGGCTGGGGGCAGTGGGCTCACGTGCTGGGGTGTGTATGGGGCTGGGGGCAGCGGGCGCACGTGCTGGGGTGTGTATGGGGCTGGGGGCAGCGGCACACGTGCTGGGGTGTATATGGGGCTGGGGGCAGCGGGCGCACATGCTGGGGTGTATACAAGGAGTGCACAGCACTTCATGGTCTGTCCCCAGCTGCTTCCACTCCTCCTCGTTTAACACAGGAGAGACCAGAAGGAAGCTGAAATGAAAACCGGCACATTTGGGAATCGAATCTAATTGTTCAGACCCAAGAAAAGCAGGATGGAAGTCAATGTCATCTATGGCCACGCGTTTGCGGCCGGCAGCACCCCCACTTCTGCACTAGTGCTTGCGTCCACGTTGCGCCTCCGGCTTAGGACAGAACCACAGTGTGTCGCACTGATCTGTGATCCGTAACTCCTCGTGTTCTGAGTCATCTCCCCTACGCGAGCTTGCAGGTAAAAGCCATGCAGGCAGGTGGCTTCTCCCTGGCAGAGGGCGGTGTGGGTGCATGGTTTGGAGACGGGAGACAGAGACACAAGCGTGTGGCATCCCTCACGTGCATCCAGGTCACATTTTGGTGAGGTCAAGAACCACGAGAAGGGGGCTGGTGCCATGGTGTAATGGGCTAAGTCTCCATCTGCCTCCCATGTGGGCGCTAGTTCAAGTCCCAGCTGCTCCTCTTCCGATCCAGCTCCCTGCTAATGTACCTGGAAAAGCAGGAGAAGATGGCCCAAGTCCTTGGGCCCCTGCACCCACGTGGGAGACCCGAAGGAAGCTCCTGGCTCCTGGCTTTAGATCAGCCCAGCTCCGGCTGTTGTGGCTGTTTGGGGATTGAACCAGTGGATGAAAGACCTCTCTCTCTCTCTCTCTCTCTCTCTCTCTCTCTCTGTAACTCTACCTCTCAAATAAACAAATGAAATCTTAGAAGCAGCAGAAGGAGGGGAGGACAAGGGGAAGGAGGAGGAGGAGGGGGAGGGAGGAAGGGGAAGAGGAGGACGACCATGAGAACTGGGGTGGACGAGGGAAGCCACAGCTCCGGCCCAGCTGCAGAACTGCGTCACTGGCCTGGAAGCTTAGCGACAAGGCAAGGAGGAGAGCAGCCTGTGTAAGGGATCTGGTGGCCCTGGCAGCTGGGAGCCACCACACCTCGGGCCACCCCGTGTCCTGCAAAGCCTTAACAACCCTTTGGAAACTGAAGAAATAGATCCCGCAGGGAGTCCCCGTGGTGTCAGGTCCCTGGGCTGTGGTTTCCACGGTCACCCAGGGGCGTGAGCCAGCCAGAGGGAGCAGGAGTCCTTAAAGAGACCCGAGCACTCGGCGCCCAGCGATCCCTTCTGTGTGCCAGGCTGGGCCCGCGCGGACCTGGGAAAAGCCCGTTTCTTCACCATGGCGTCCCTGCCGTGGGGATCCTCTTGTTGGGTCTCTGTTTCCTTGGGCTTCTGTAACAAAGGACCACAGGCCGAGGGGCGCAGGGAGAGGGAATTTAGGGGCAGGCGTTTGGCCGAGCAGCGTCCCCCATCCGAGAGCCTGGGTGCAGTGCCCAGCTCTGCTGCTGGCTCCCTGCTGATGCCCACGCCAGGCGGCAGCAGGTGTTGCTGTAGGTGGTTGGGTCCCAGCTCCTGGCTTCAGCCTGGCCCAGTCTCAGCGGTTGTGAGCCTCTGGGGAGTGATCCAGGGGTGGGAGCTCTCTGTCTCTCTCTTCCTCTCTGCCTTTCAAACAAAATGGAAAAAAAAAAAAAAAAACTCTGAGAGTTTTAAAAATCATTTCTAGATTTTAGTACCTAATACCATAAATGCCACAGATGTGGTTGTTAAACTCTATGGTAGGGGCCAGTGTTGTGGCACAGCAGGTAAAGTCGCCACCTGTAGTGCCGGCATCCCATATGGGCGCCAGTTCGAGACCCGACTGCTCCACTTCCAATCCGGCTTTCTGCTATGACCTGGGAAGGCAGTGGAAGATGGTCCAAGTGCTTGGGACCCTACATTCACATGGGAGACCTGGATGGAGAGCCTGGCTCCTGACTTTGGCCCAGCTTGGCTGTCATCGCCATCCGGGAGTGAAGTAGCAGATTCAAGATCTCTCTCTCTCTCTCTCTCTCTCTCTCTCTCTCTCTCTCTCTTCCCTCCACTCCTGTCTCTGTAACTCTGCCTTCTCATACATAAATCTTTCTAAAAATTAAAAAAAGTGAAGGGCCCATGTTGTAAAGCCGTGGTGCTCCACGTGGGTGCCAGTTCTCGTCCCGGCTGCTCCACTTCCGATCCAGCTCCCTGCCAGGGCACCTGGGAAAGTGGCAGCCGAAGGTCCAAGTGCTTTCACGCTGCCGCCCACGTGGGAAGCCCGGAGACCGGGCTGGAGCTCCTGGCTCCTGGCTGCAGCCTGGCCCAGCCCCAGCGGTGACAGGCATTTGGGGACTGAACCAGCGGAGGGAAGAGCTCTTTCTCCCTCTGATGCTTTTTCAAATAAGTAAATAAATAAAACAACAGCAGATGCACACCAGCTTCCAACTCCTTTTTTTATTTAAAGACTTCAGATTTTAGATGTAGAATAATTCTTTTCTTATATTTTTAATTTCTCTAAGATCTTTTAATTGAAAGTCAGAGTTACAGAGAGACATAGAAAGAAAAGTCTTCCATCCACTGGTTCACTCCTCAGGTGGCCGCTATGGCCAGAACTGTGCCGAGCTGAAGCCAGGAGCTGGAAGCTTCTTCCAGGTCTCCCATGCAGGTGCAGGGGCCCAAGGACTTGGGCCTCTTCTACTGCTTTCCCAGGCCACAGCAGAGAGCTGGATCGGAAGTGGAGCAGCCGGGACTTGAACCAGCGCCCATATGGGATGCCAGCACTGCAGGTGGCGGCTTTACTGGCTACACCACAGCACCGGTCCCCATACTCCTTTTTATGTATGTAAGTGTGATGATTGGCTTTGCACCCCACTGTGTGAGATGTGCCCCCTCCAATCCTGGTAGACGTTGGCATGTCACCTGTCTGATGGGAACGTAGGGGGAAAAGGAACCATCAGCTTCCAAAATCCATGCACGTAATAAAATGTCTGCCAGTTTGTGGCGATTTTTCTAATTCCCTCCCATTTAGTTTTCATTGTAAAGGCAGTGGCAGCAATGAGAAATAGCGTACACTATATTTGCTCAACGCCAGAACAGCAGAACTAGCAACAGAGGGGCCAGAGCTGTGGCGCAGTGGGCTGGGCTCTGCCTGCAATGCCGGCGCCCACGTGGGCGCTGATTCAAGTCCCGGCTGCTCAACTCCCTGCCTGTGCACCTGGGAGAGCCGTGCGAGAGGCCCACGTGCTTGGGTCCCTGCCACACCTGTAGGAGACCTGCATGGAGCACCAGGCTCCTGGCTTCGGCCTGGCCCAGCCCTGGTTTTGCTGGCCATTTGGGGAGTGAACCCGTGGATGGAAAAATCTCTCTATGTCTCTCCCTCTTTCTCACCTCTGTAACTCTGCCTTTCAAAGAAACAATAAATATTAAAACCTAAAATTAGCAACAGAGCAGAGGGCAGGAGATCCAAGTTCTGTTTCTGTTGCTGCGATTGGTTTATTCATTGTTGTTGTTGTTGTTTTTTTTACTGATACTTACGGAGCCCTTGCTGTGCCGGGCACTGCACCAGGCAGAGATCTGGGGATCTGGGGGGAGAGCGAGTCAGCGTGTGCAAAGGCCCTGAGGAGGGGTGGGGGAGGGGCAGAGTGACGGAGCGGGAGGAGAAGGACCTCAAGCCTGCCTGTGAGATGTGCTCTGTGCGGGTATAGCTGTCGCCTTCCTAACAGGCAGGCCAAGAGGAGAGCAAAGCAAGACTCAGGGGTTCTGAGGCTCCACGCTGCTCCACGCCACGTTCCAAGGTGGCGAGTGGGGCTCCCTGAATCTGAAACCCACACAGTGATTGCCGTGTGCAGCAATGTCAGGCTTCTCTGTGAGCAGCCCTCTCGGATCCCGGGACCCTCACTGCAAGGTGAAGGGAACGCACGTGCCCCGGGGGCCTGCACGGTGCCCACAGCTCAGAGCTGATCTGCGCACCTGCCCGGGCACCTGCTCCGTGGGCACTCGCCACTCAGAGGCTTCACGGAGGCACTGTGCGCGTGCACTCCGCCCACACCGCTTTGGCACACGCCACAAATGTACACGGATGTGGGTGATAGACGTGCTCCGTGGATGTCCTCCATGCCCGGGCACCACGAACTTGCTCCCGGGACCTGCACTGCGGGCTGTGCATTTGGGAGGTGATGTCGGCTAGCACACAGACGAAGACTTTAACCATTCCAGTTGTTACACGTGTGTTAGACATGCATGTCTATATGAAATACCAGCGATCCAATCTGTGATTAATAACGATACAGTTTCCTTTGTTAAAGGGATTCATTTAAAACAAGCGCTTGCTAAAAGTAAAGCGAGAGAGTCCATCAGGTGCTGTGTAGACGCTGCGGCTGCCGGGAACGTGATCCACGGAGCGCTGGCTTTCGGGACAGGACTCTGATACTCCCCAGTCTAGGAGGCGCCCAGAACTCTGGCCACCTAGAAGCGGCCGTGGTGAAGGGGAGTCGGGCAGGAGCCAAGCGAGCAGGCTTCATGGGACACGCCGAACCGTGCAGATCCGGACCTGGTCGCTGCACAGCCTCCTGGCTCTGGCTGTGTGACTGGGAGTGCAGGGGGACTAGCAGGCCAGAGGCAGGGGCTTGCCCGAAGGAAGACCCTCGCCGGGGTGGGGGTGGGGGGTGCGAGCCCGGCCGACACTCACAGCGCCCGCGCGGGGTCTGCCGCTCACTTGCGTATACCCATGCACGCCCGGTGGGCGGTGTCCACGCGTGGACTGCAGTGTCAGGGCCCCTCGCAGGCACCATACCCACGGGCGCCAAGGTCCTTGTAAAGATGGCGCAACACATTCGTGTGGAACCTCCCAGGCCCTCAGCGAGCACCCCTGCGTCACGGTCACGCCTGGTGGGCCGGCAACGCTAGTGACCGCCTGGAGCACCGCCTCGCTTCAGGAAGGAGGAGCAAAGAGACTTCGGACGCGGCCCTCGTGGACACAGAGGGCCAAGCAGGCGGTCGGCTCTGCGGCCACGGGCCTGCCCTGCGAAGCATCATGTTCTGGCTGGAATTGGGTGCCCTGCTTTGGGGAACAGGACTACAGCCCGGGAAGTGGACTCGCTCTGGGCCGCGGCAGGGTCCCCCCCCCCCCCCCCGCACTGCCTCTAAGCCACTCGTTATTCTATCCTCAGGGTAGTTTAAATAAGTTATTATGCAGGCATTTGCAAGAAGAGCACCTTTATTACCAAACCCCCTACAATGGCCGGAGCCTTGGGCCGGGCTGGGGTCCCCCTCCCCTGCCTGGGGGGCCAGGAAGGAATTTGGGCACAGAGCACTCCTTCCACGCTGTCAATGCCTGGAGCTTTGTGTCCCAAACAGGGAGCGGGGATGCCAGGTCGGGCTTCCAGAAGAATCCATGAGCAAGGGTGAGCACAGGTGACGACCCTGAGACCCCACGCGGGCCCCTTCTGTGGAGCTGCAAAGTGTGGGTGCCCTGGGCGAGAGGCAGCCTGCTGGGGACCCCGAGAACCCACACTCTGGAAGCCCTGGGGGTCACATCCCACCTCGCTGATTGCTGTGTGACCTTGGGCAAGTTAAACAGCTTTTCTGAGCCTCGCTCTCCTGGTGACAGTGCACTCTACCATGGAGCCGCGGCCAAGTTCCAGTCCCAGCTTTGCTGATTCTAGCTCCCTGCTGACGCACCCCCTGGCAGGCAGCAGGTGACCCCCGAGGACTCGGATCCCTGCCACCACATGGGAGGCCCGGATGGAGTTCCTGGGTCCAAGCTTCTTATCTTGTGAGCAAAGTCAGGCTGACAGATCATGGGGCTCATCTGGTGGGACTGCTAGGAGGAGTCAGGACTCGAACCCAGCACCTAGCATGGACTGAGCACTGGAGAGCGAGCGACTTCTGTTAGTGAAGTTGGCTTCAACAGGGCACACTCGGGTGCACCGTCAGGGTCGGGGGGCCTTGGAGAGGGGAGCAGACAGGACCGGGAGGCCTGAGTTTGAATCTCCCGGGGCACCAGGCCCTGCATGGCTCTGGACAAAGGGACCCGGCTATGGAAGGTGCAGAGCGGAGCAGGGCCCCTTTCCTGGCCTCCCAGGGAGCTGCCCCGTCCGCTCCACTGCCCCCCGCAGCCACGCGGCCTGGTCAGAGTGCTCCTTCAAGAAATGGTGAACATTGCCAGGACCCTCCCAGGTCCAGGCGTTTTCCCGGCAAGCGCACCTGATCCCAGCCAACCTACAAACCCCGGAGGCCGCTCTGTGTACGGAGGGAGATGAAGTGTAGAGAGGGGAGGCAGGGCAGGAGGCCACACCGCGCCCTAACGGTGGGACTGGGATCTGAACTTCACTCGCGTGATCTCTGACCTGTGGGGAGCAGCCCGGACTGGACTGAGTTACTGGAATTAAGACTTATTCTATGCATCTGCTCTCCCACAATATGGCGCTGGGAGAGAAGTAAACAGCTTCCGCACAGCTGCCTCCAGTTCAACCAATAAACTGTAGGACTTGCTCCTGATTGGAGAGCAGCGTACTCGGCGTGTGGGCAGCCGAGTTAGGATTGGCGGAGGAGGACTATAAAGGAGGAGAGAGACGGCATGCACCGGGAACATCTATGGGGAACATCTAAGGGAACCCGTGCAGCCCCCGAGAAAGCTGGCTGGCAGTGTGCCGCTCCCCTGCGGAAGTGGGGAATGCGGCCAGGGGGAACTGCCCTTCCACGGAGGTGGAAGGGATAGTAGCCAACCCGGGAAGAACCAGCAGCAAACCCGGGGAGGGCCGAGCAGACGAAAGAACAGCGCAGGGTCCTGTGTCGCTCCTCCACGAAGAGGGGGAGCGACATAATGGTGCCGTGACTCGGATAGGAAACCTAGGACGGATAGGAAACTTAGGAGGGAAGAAACGGGAAGAACTGGGAAAATACCGGAGAGAGAGACTAGCAAAGAGCCTAGATGCCGGAAGAAGCTATTGAAAGCCTAGGCATAGACTCGGATATGGACTGTGGGAAAGAAGTTAGGATTGAAAGCAAAAGTGAAAGCTTTCATAGACTCGGATGCGGACTATGGCGGGGAAGCTAGGAGATTGAAAGCGAAAGTGAAACCTGGAGGAGGCTTGGACTCGGATACGGACTGTGGGGAGTAGCCAGGAGAAATGAGAGGAATATTGTTGGAAGAAAACTTAAGGAAACATACCGGGTAGAGAAAAATGTTAGGGAGGATGAAGCCGCGAGTGCAGGCCGAGGTGGAGATATAAGCCACCTTGGAATTCTTCAAGTCACCCCGGGGAGCAAGAGGCGAAGATCTGGAACCAGAGGCAGAGACGTGGGCCGCCAGGATTCGCCAGGTTAGTCCGGGGAACTTGGACTGAATGCCGGTGGTGGCGGAAACATTCGCGGAAGCCGCCGCGTGCAGAGAGAGCACGGGGCGTGAATAAATAGGGAACGCGGGGCTGGCGGGAGGCCGTGGTGCAGGCGCGAAGTGCATGGAGACCGCGGAGCGTGCGCGCAGAGCCGGGAACCCGCCGGCGGGGCGAGGCGCGGCGCCGGGAAGCCGCGCAGAGCCGTGAAGCTGCCGCGGGGCGAGGCGCCGGGAAGCCGCGCAAAGCCGGGAAGCCGCGCAGATCGGAGAAGCGCGGGCTGAAGCGGCTCAGAGCCGGGAAGCCGCCGAGAAGCAGTCTCGGGGCGGGCGCCGGGAAGCCGCAAGGATAAGAGAAACAGAAGTTTAGAAGTAAAATGAGAGAAATAGGAATGCTGGAAGATAGAAGTAAAATGGGAGAAATAGGAATGCCCGGAGATAGAGAAATAGAGAAATAGAAAGGCCTCCCCTCAACATGGCAATTAGAAGGCTTGGATTCGGTCTGCCCTATTAGTGAGGCGATGAGCACCTGCGGGCGGCTAGCAGCTTATGCGCCGCAGGTCACCGAAGACAGGCACGAACCAACACTAATAAGTCTCCCCCACAATACGGCAATGAGAAGGCTTGGATTCGGTTTGCCTGATAGGGCTTGTAAGCCCCTGCAGGCTCGACCAGAGCATGCGCTGCAGGGCACCGAACACAGGCACGCATCAGCGCCTAAAAACCTCCTCACAACATGGCGAAGAGAGGACCCGGATTCGGTTTGCCTGATTGATAGGACTTGTAAGAGCCTGTGGCAACTCTAGCAAGTAGAGCAGAGTGTGTGCCGCGGGACACCGAAGACAGGCGCGTATCAACGCCAAAAATAAAAAGAAAGGGGGATCTGTGGGGAGCAGCCCGGACTGGACTGAGTTACTGGAATTAAGACTTATTCTATGCATCTGCTCTCCCACAATATGGCGCTGGGAGAGAAGTAAACAGCTTCCGCACAGCTGCCTCCAGTTCAACCAATAAACTGTAGGACTTGCTCCTGATTGGAGAGCAGCGTACTCGGCGTGTGGGCAGCCGAGTTAGGATTGGCGGAGGAGGACTATAAAGGAGGAGAGAGACGGCATGCACCGGGAACATCTATGGGGAACATCTAAGGGAACCCGTGCAGCCC